TTTCTTTACTGAGCAAGAACTATGTATTCCTGGAGTCATTTCCCCCATTAAATATTTTAGGCCAGTTCATCTACCTATAGTGAAGTTGTTTGACAAACTTTTTAAGTACTTCATGCTAGAAGAGGCAGTACGGCATACGCAGAGCTGTGATTTTTATCCCCTGGCTTCTCACTGCCTTTTGCCAGCAAAGGGGAAAGAGATTTGTGCCCAGCAAAGGTGACTGCTTTCCGCTGCCCTGGCCCTGAGCAGCCCGGCAGCATAGGGGAGGAACTGCACCAACCGTATATATCCAGAGCTTGCAAACTGCCTTAGAGGTGAGGAGCAGTGAGACTAAACTCGCGTGTTGGTAGCAAACAGTGTTCAGCACACGCCACACCAGTCTGAAACCATTCGTATTACTCAACGAGGCTGAAAAAAAAGCAAAATGTTCCTGTCAGAGAGCGTGATGTAAACGTTGGATTACAAGACTGGAAGTGAAGTTACAAAAAAAAAAAAAAAATCCCAAACAAGCTAGTTGTCAAAAACGTACCTGAAATGGTTCTCTGATCCTCACCGTGATGAAGGCCCCTCCTCTTCCCCTTCTCCCCCAGCACCTTCTAGCCCTTTCTGGGGGAGAACGGCTTCAGCAAATACTTTGCCCTTAGTTGAACGTTGAACCACAGAGCCAGCTTCCCTGATTAACCTTCTGATTACGCCCTGTGATTAACTCTGGCCACAGTTGTCAAAAACGTACCTGAAATGGTTCTCTGATCCTCACCGTGATGAAGGCCCCTCCTCTTCCCCTTCTCCCCCAGCACCTTCTAGCCCTTTCTGGGGGGGGGGGAGAACGGCTTCAGCAAATACTTTGCCCTTAGTTGAACGTTAACTCACAGAGCCAGCTTCCCTGATTAACCTTCTGATTACGCCCTGTGATTAACTCTGGCCACTGCTAATGGAGAGACTGGCAGCCTTCGCTTTTATAGCCCGGGGATTTTGTGTGCCTTGTTCTGTGCATCAGGGAATAGGGTAACATTTGGCGAAGCTTACTCAAGGTAGAAGAACGTTTTTGGATGTAAATGCCTTGTCTTTGACTTAATACAAATAATGCTAACACAAGGTGAGCGCGAAGTGCTTTGTGTCCGTGTAATTTTGTTGTGCGGGACCACATAACCGGGGTCCGTAACCCATGTCAAAAGCGAAGTGCTGGTGTCCTGCCTGCAGGCTGCTCAGGTTAGATCGGCAATTTCTAATACGCCCAAGAAAAAAGCTGGATATTTGGCCTCAAGGAGATCTGAGGCACGTTTGCATCTACCATTCCTCTTCAAAATGCCAAGTTATTTCTATTTCTTATCAGTGAAGCATAAGGTGCAGCACACGTGTGCAGGGTGTTTTGATGCAGAACAAGCTCTGGGCTCAGGTGGAACCTGGAATTTCTATTTTTTCCCTTGGGCTTTGCTTGCATTATTCTGCCGGCACTGTGCTGAGGTGTACCCGCTGCTACACCCAGCCCTCAACACAGACTGCCACCCTGTCGTGTGTAACCGTACCTCCCTCCAGCAGCCACGGGCCTTTGCCCACCCCCAAGGGGAAATCTTGCGGTGCTGGGAAGGAACAGGGAAGTCGGCTCGGTTCCTGGGATCTTGCCAACGAGGAAAAGGCTGTCGGGAACAAATGACAAGGCCATTTCTACTGGAGGTGCTATGGATGTGTTTTTGCATAATAAATAAAAATCCATCTGACTTCCATGAGTGAAAGCTGGGGATGACGCAAACCATGAAACGTCCCTGGAGATACGGGCGGGCTCTGGGAAGGCACCGTAACTAGCATGTGGAACAGGCTACTAAATATAGCACTGGAAGCTGCAATCAGGAATATATTTTCTGCAATGCTAACCAATTAGAGGGAGTGACATTAAATTGGTATTCAGTTTCCACCAATTTCCATATTGCAGCTGTTTCTTTTCTAGAAACTCCCCTTTTGTAGAAAGAACTGTTGAAATTGTGTGTCTGTAAGTCATCTTAGGTGCTGGTATTGCGATAGCGATGCTGCGATTGCACCGCTGGAAGGACTGTAAAAAGAAATACGGCCATCAAGGGCTTTATAGCTGCTGCTGAATCAATTACATACATTTTTATTTGGAAGTAGCACAGAGCATACTTCTCTTTTACACACTCATACTTCAATATATGCTGTTAAGGTTATTTCACAGCCAAAGGAGTACCTGCCCCGCTGGCAGAGGTCTGCTTGTCACTAAATGCCACTGATCGACCGCTTTCAAAGCTGGCTGGGAGGAACGGGCTGGGTCCTCAGCTTGTGCCTCAGAGCTGTGCCGGGAGGACCTGACCTGCATCAGCTGTGGTTGCGTCTGCCCTGCAGGACAGCCGTGGATTTCACACCCTCATCGCAGGAGTTATCCTTCTGAGCCGATGGAAACAGTGCTGCATTCGAACAAGTCTAGTGACGTGTATTCTCTGCGTGCTTGCCATAAAATCTAAGTGCTCTGTTCAACCAGCAGTCGAACGCTGGTGAATTATACTCGGTATGTACCACCTCATACTGTAATGACTAATACTAGAATAGTATTTCTGGATGGGACCATAGCTTCCACCCAGAAACAATGTAGTGGCTGAGCAGTGCATTTTAGCAACAAACTACTTCTAGCAAGTTTCTCCTTTCAAAGGCAGAATCTGTTTTAGACTACAGGAGAATCAAAGCCACACTGCTTTTAGCTATTAGCAATCACAGTAACCGCTCAGGGAGTCTTACTTTCTTTTAATGTACGAGAACAGCAGTTTATGTTAATCAAGGAGAAAAACCCCAACGTTTCATCACAGATTGTTTGGAGTTATGCCAGAAGCATCTGAGGATGGGGAAAGTAGTCACGCTCAGTGCTTTGATGCTTGCTGACAGGCACTGTACCAGAGAAAAAGGCACAGCATCACTTTTTGAATTACAATGTGTGAATTACTTTAATACAGTAATTCAAACATTGATACCTTCAAATGGACATCTGCAATGACACCAACGGTGTTTTGGTTGGCGTACGCAAACATGAAGGTATTTAGAGCCAAAGCCAGAAAGAATTTGGCTACTGTGGCGGCCAGTCAAACTTCCAGCTGCCAGAATAGGACCTGCAGCCCCGAGTTAAGCTGCTGGCCTGAGCACCGAGGGATGGGGGCAGTTCCCCCGGTCGAAGCCAGGCAGCAGAGGAAGGGATGTGTGACCAGAGGAGAGCTGCGGAGGGAGGCCGGTGGTTGGGGCTGCTGTCTTGATCTGAGTACCTTTCTTTATAACCCCAGTCATTAATAATCTTAACGGTTAAAGTCAGTAACAGAGACACTTGGTAAGCACCTTATGTACAAAGGGGTGCCAGAGTCCACTAGGACTTCCTCAATATGCAGCTTGGGCTATTTTTCTGTTCCAGATTACAACAAAAGGTGTAAAACATTTTCAGACATAAACTCTTCAAAATCTGAAGATGTTTAGTCCTAAGAATTCTACAAATAATTTAATAGAAACTAACTGTCCATCTCTGCACCTCACCAACCCCAAGAGACTACAAAGTCGGACGGGATTTGCTAACTTGCATATGCCAGGATTAATTGCATAACGTAATGCTAATTTTTGATGATGTAGCTGTGGCAAGCTGTTTCGGAACCAAGGGCATTTTAAGTGCACATGTGATAAGCACAAACTCAGAGGACTGCCAGGCATTTTGTCTGTACGGCGCTTTCATCAGGTAAAGGTCTTCATTTAGGTGTCGGAGTCCCTTTACTAGTGTTATGAAAAAAGACTCCAGTCTCTAGGAAGAAAAAAAATCAAGACCAATTTAATTCACCCTTCTCTTGGGAACGGTGAAGGCACCTTATATGCTGCAGTAAGATAAATCTTTTCTGAGATCATTCGTGGAGTTACATGCCTCATGGTGGGCATGACTTATCCTACTACTCACAGCACTTTCTCAAGATGGGAACTTACTTTCCAAGCCCTGTTCAAATGAACGTGCTGTGTTCATTTACACAGTGGGATAAGTAATCTACCACTTCATGCTTAAGGCCTGCAGGCAAGTCATTCACTCAACAGGCACCTCTAAGCCCACCTGAAAGCGAATCATGAAGTACATACAGGAATTTTATGCACCTCAGGAGATGATGGAAGCTAACTGGAAGCCGTGATTCCTTGGTCTAGAGGACCTCTTGGTCCTCTAGAGAAGGTCCAACAGAGGACCTTGGTCTAGATCTGTAATAAATTTTAGCAGAATGGGCCCCAAAATAAGCATTTTTTTAAACTTTCAGTCTCCAAAGTCGAAATAGAAAAACTTGAACTGAATTCAGAGTATCTAAGTTACTCTGTAAGAGGAGCTACTGCAACTCCAGTTCCTACCACACTCTAGCATTACACTTCAGCACTAAAACTAATTGTACTGACACATGTACACCCCACAGAATCCACATTTTGACAGAGGTACCTGAATGGCATCGGCAAGGCTTCGTATCATAAACACCACCTGCCCCCATCCCTGCCAAGAAGAAAAGGAAAAGCACTCTGAAGCTCAATAATGAAGTGGGTCCTTCATTATCCTTCACCCACTACCATATAATCCAAATAATCCATTGGGTAAGGAGATAGCAGTTGGAGGGGGGAAATACTCCACAACCAGTTTCTTTTAAAAATGAATTGTATTTAATATTTGAATGCCTAAGGCTAGCACTGCTAGACAAATTGCATGATGAATTCTAGTGGAATAAAACATGATTTAAGTACAAAAGCTGGAGGAAAAAATGCTCATGCTTTCCAGAGGCAATGAGGTATTTTAACTATACAAAGTCTGAATGTCCAAAACCATCTCCAGATCTTCCCCTTTGCACTGTTAATGTTGGGCATTCAATAGTTCTCTCTTTCTGTGTGTGTTTTCCAAAAGGCCAAGGAAAAGTGCATAACCATCTTTAAAGATGAAGAACTTCCAACATCTGTCTTGCCACATTTTTAGACTAGTAGCTTTAAAATGTTCGACCACTTTTTCAAGCCATTCTGATATATGGTGGAGGTTTGGATGCGTCTTCCTCTGCATCTAAGTCCTGGGCTGGAAACTGATCTGGGAAGTTAAAAATTCTGTCCCCACGGCCTGTGTGGGGAAGGAAAGAGGAAACCATTAAACCTGGTGTAGACACTTGCACAAAATCCTGAGTTCCTTTTGGCTCGGAGTATTTTGGTTATCAGGATTTTGGCCTGGGATGTGAAGCTTATTCGGGATGTTCCTTCCACGTCCCTGGTGAATATCCAAATACACGGAGGGAAAGAGTTACTCACTTTGTACAGCGCAAACCATTTCCACAGCCTGATTTTGGTCCTCACTAGGTTGCAACCATTCCTATGAATGAAACAATGCCATCAAAAACCTCATCTGTTGAGTTTGTTCAAGAAGATATACCTAAATGCATTTTAAAAGTCTGTACAGTCCACTCCTTCTAACAAGTTTTAGTTTGAAAGTTTAAAGCAGCCTCACATTACACGCTCGGTATCTTTAGTCACGAACAGCTGCCTTGTAATCTGTACCCATTAATTCCTTACCAAATGAGATGGTCGGATGTACGTGTTTAATACAGCATCAGAATTACTGTATTAATTCTGATGTATAAATATATATATGTATAAATATAGCTGGTATTTAAAGAGCTCACTTAGCAGAGACATGCGGCGTGTGCCCCATCACTTGAGGTAGAGTCCTCATAAATTAGCAGTAAAAGGTGGTGTATCTCCCCTACAAGACATGCGGCGTGTGCCCCATCACTTGAGGTAGAGTCCTCATAAATTAGCAGTAAAAGGTGGTGTATCTCCCCTACACTTCACACACAGTACAGGGGATATTTTTATTATTGAATTTGTAGTTCTAGGGATAAGGCATCTTGGTGTGCAAGCACCAGTAAGTCTTTGAAATGCTGTACCAGGAGCAATCGTTGGTTTAAGGGTGAGAGAAGAAGGAGCAGTTTTTGAGGAGAGAGGGAATTCATAGGAAATGGGACCACAGTAGCTTCAGCACTAATGGTATGGTTTGGAAAATGGAGATAACTTATGCTAGGTCTTACACAAGACTGTAAATAAGAGGGAGGTAGTAAAAGGAAAAATACAAGAAGTATAAAACCCTTCTAACATCCACTTAATTTCTTAGAATTAGCCCTGGATGACTGAGGTAGAGCTGAGGCTAGGTTTACAGAAGAAAAACACATCTTCTCCCCAGTTTCTTCCCCTCCCACCCACACTCAATACAAATAAATGGGTGCCCTGGACTCCTCACTCACCATCCCAGTTACACTGTCGTAGCACGAGCAGCATGGAAGACTCCGGCATCCCAAGTAAGCAATCACCAGCACAACAAAAGCACTGCTGACAGATGCAGCTAGCATGGCTACGTTAGCACCCTTCACTACTTTATTAAGTACGAACTTCTGCAAGCAGAAAAGGAAATGTTAAAGCCACATTGAAAAAGTTAAGTTCTCCACCAGAAAATACTCTAATGACTGCAAGAATGCTGCGATTGCATCGTAGGCGATTGATTCAGAGTCAGTGTTATTTAAGGCTTTTCTTCCTGTGCTCTGAAGAGCAAGCCAAGAGTGAACCTCAAATACGAAAAAAGCAAGCAGTAAGAGAAGGCTTCTGATTAAATATAAGACGCTATGCAATGGCGTCAGGTTTGGAAATAGCTTTAACAATGAGTAGAAACCCAAGGAATGGCTGCTCCTCTTCACACTGAATATGGGAAACGTCTTCTTGCTATACTGCACCTTAGCAGCCCGACATTTTGATTTGTCCTGCAATAAACTAATGAACAGCTTCATCTACCTGGAACGTCTTCATCCCCACAGGGAGCCATCGCTTGCAACATGTTTGAGGTACAAAAGGGCTAACTCATTCCTTCTTTTCAGCTTTACTGTGTGGGATACACTTGAATAATACGCAGTTTTAACCAGCTGACCTGTAACTGCTGTAACTCTATCACCCGAGGTGCATGCTGGAAAGGATTCGAGCCTAGCAATTGCTGTCTCAAACCAGGCCAGGGATACGGCCAGCACCTACCCCTTTTCATGAGCAGTACCATTATTTTTTTCCTGGCACAACCCAAACCCTTTCGCACTCGGCAGCAGCAGTTAACCCAACTGTAATGTGTTTAGGCGCATAGCTAGCGTGCACGCCTCCAGGGACGAGCTGTTGCTCTCAAGCAGCTGCTTCTCAGACGGGCATCCAGGTGAGCTGGGCGTTAGTTCACATAGCCACCGACACTAGCCATGCTGCAGCAGCAGCAAACAGCAGGAGCTAGCTATAAAATGTCTTATCTAGCCCTGCATGGGTTTTGTGGTTTTCAGTACTTAACTTAACTGTAGACCTATACAAATTTTTTTAAACAAGTGCCCTGCTGCAGGCACCATTTCAAACTCTAATTTGGGCACCCTAGAAGTCTGGTTCTGTTTCCAAGTCATGCCTAGTAACGTTTGCAGATTAAGACAGTCATGTTCCCCAGTAATAAGCACGATATCAATACTTACGGTATGGATAACATGGACTGGGGCAGAACTCAGCTCCTCCTCTTCACCATAGTTCAGTGTGAGGGAGCTATAAACTATTACGATGAGGATGGCAACGCAAGAGATTATGGAAGCAACTATCAGCACATTCACCTAGACAGAGAAATTAAAGGAGAAAAAGAAGGGGAGCATGAATTAAAACTATCCTCTGACAAATCAATGCAACTAATACAGACAAAAGGTACTAACAAACATTGAAGGTACTAGCCTTTGGTCTCCCGTAACACTAAAAAGTACCCAGTAGCAACCGTCACTTGGAAGCCAAACACAGTGCAGCAAAGGTTTCCATGATACCGAATTTCTGAGCTACAATCGAGTCCCAAATCTTAACCATGGGTGCTAGCTGGACCCAAAGACTTTGTTCTTAGAGATCTCTTACTTATAAACTATATCCCCTCTTGGAGTTTACATGGCTGGAGAGACCTGCCTAGGAAATGCAAGTCAATTAACTTGTTTCCTATTTTAGTGTACACAATTCTTAGTAACAGGAAGGAACACCAAAAGAAATGCATTCAAAAGCAAACGTTTTTACAGATTTTTGCTTGTTATTAGAGCCAGTGCTCGTCTGCTGCAGCAGAAAGCAAGGTAACGCTGCATCCTCCTCTTGCTTAGGAATGTAGCAGCTTTTATGAAGATAACTCAAGAAAATAAGCTCTCAGTCCTGCAGAAGGACCAGCCAGCTCATTCCCTACAAAAACCGTTTTCGATTGCCCCGACAACATTTTGCCCCCACCCCGTATACACACAATCCCCCCCAGCTCCAGGCTTACGAGAACTGGATTCTTCCTCTGAGAGGAAAACAAAGCCAGGACTCCCGGGACTCCCATCACCTGCAGAGCACAAAAGGAGTTGGTAACTGGGAGACAAGTATCGGATTTGGAAGATAAACTACTACAGAGCAGATGAAAAGCCCTTGTTTTCAAGGCTTGGATCAGAGTAACTGTTGGGTCAGAAATGGAAAGAGAATTGCTGATTTCTTCTGTTTTCCTCTGCAGCATCTCCTGGGGGCAGGACACTGCGTGAAATGCATCTTGCCCCCTTGCTACCCCCATGGCAGCAATCCTCCCACTGGCTTTACGGCTCTGGCCAAATAATAGAACTCATTAAATAAGTCCAATTAAAGTGCTAAAAATGCGCGCTGCTTTCCCAAGTCCTTGTGCATCTTGTAGATGGAAGAAAGATATTACTGAAAGGAGACGGGCAGCCTCTGGATGGAAGAGAGCGCTTCAGTACAACTCCCTTGTGGCGCGGCTCACCAGGGTACGAACAGTAACATCAGGGCACTGAACGCCAGGGAGTGAGGATGCCCGCTGCCCGCTCCTTGTTGCAGTCCAGAGAATTAGTGGCACTGTGCTGTGGGACACAGATCATCACCCAGATGTTCATCTACCTGATGTGAGGATGAAGTCTTCCCCTCCTAATCTTCGGTGGCCTCTCTGTGGTCACTATGCTTCCGCAAAAAAAAATGTCAATTGCCACTATGCCCCACTTTCTACGTTATCCAGTAGAAATGTGTTTTATTTAGCTCTTTCAGAGGGAAGTCTGCTTCCACTCTCCTGCCTATACCACGACAAGGAAACTTTTATTATCTGGGTTCAAAGCAGGAAACCAGGGAAGCGCTGGCAAGAAGTCCTGGCCTCCCTCCCACCCCCAAGCTGAGTGCTAGTAGGTAGCGGTGGGGAAAAAAAAACCACAAAACAAAGCATAGAAAATATAGTGCAACTTTACCATCCCAGCCCAAATTGGAGCTCTGGTTTTGCCCAGCTGAGACTCAGTTCTGAAAACGCCATCTATGAACCCGCTGACGACACACACCGTGCTGAAGGCTATCTGGAACAGCCCCAGCACGACCATGTTCCTCTGGTTAAAGATGAAGTATCGATAGCGATCCATTCTGCTTTGATTCACACATAAATCCCCACAGGCGGAGACTGGAAAGCAGCGCCGTGGCCCTCCAGCAAAGGGGGGGAACAGCTTTTCCTAGGCAGGAGAAAGAAGGGACAGGAGCATCAGCGCTCAGCGAGCACCTGTTGGTGCGCAGGGACCTGTGGCTCGGCAGGACCACAGGTTCACCAGGAGTACAGAGTTCATCTCTTTCTGATCGGCAGCAGTGAAAGCGAGCAAAGGTGAGCAGTCTTTTGAGAAATCCCCCACGCTGCTGCTAGGCAGCTGCCCGGGACACCTTTTCTGATGTTTCTGGATCTGATGTGCGATCTTCACTTCAGACCCCACTGCTAACCTTTTTCCTTCAGGGTTTCTGCTGCCCAGAAAGGCGCGGGGGTTTGCTTGGGTTTTGTTGCCTTGAGAAGATCAACTCTGTACCTCGCTAGGAAGCAGCTGATCCCCTTTGCAGTAAGGCAGGCAAGCCGCCCATACCTTCTCGGGCAGGGTGCAGCCCGCAGAGCGGTGGGGCCGGCTCTCC